ATGATGATGATGATGATGATGATGATGATGATGATGATGATGATGATGATGATGATGATGATGATGATGATGATGATGATGATGATCTTAATTTCTCAAAAGTCAGGGACAGACCAGGCAAAACTTGGCTGGATGGCGCCAAAGCGCTCCTCCAAAAGAATGACACATCAACAACAAAAGCCACATAATAACTAGCCCATGAATCGAACATTGCACCTCCCCTCAATGTCTGACGATACAAGAGGAAGGATAAAGTAAGTAAAGCAAAGTATTCAAGCCATCAGGAATGTTCATGTATTTTCGGCCAGAAGCGTCATTTGTGCAGCAATATAACATGATAGACACATTCTATAATAATCTCACAAATATATATATTCATGTATAGTTGTAGTAAGAGTTTTATTGCACTTACAACACAATAAGGTTATATAGGTACCAAAAGTTAGAGTAGTTACAAGATATGTTTTTTGTTTTTTTGTTTGAGTGAAGAAAAAGAAGCACATCGATACAATAATGGTCATTTAGTTGTGGGGAAAAGTCAGACATACAGAAAAAAACAACAGAGGGAAAGTAAAAATGTAGGACATACCAGAGGTGCGCTCCAACCACCTACAGTTACAATAGACTCTTAAGAGTTTTACGGTGCTCGCAACTGTATAAGGTTATATGAGAGTGCGACACAAGAGAGTAACAAACACAAAAAAATGAAGGAGGGAAGAGATAGAAGAGTCATTTGATACGAAAGAAGGGGCAAATCCCACCAACACACTCGCCAACCACCTTGCAAGAGAATGAGAAACATGTATTATAAAAAAAAAGGACGATACCTCACTTTTTGGAATCGCATCCTATACCTTACCAGTTATCCTTCTCCGCACCAGTGTTGATCTGCGGCGATTTGGTTTATGGCCACTAAACACAAAAGGCGTGAGTTCAGTTCCCACGTCGGAAATCTATAAATTTGACAAATATTATTTCGGTCTTTCTGATAGCATTTTGTATTCCCTTCTCTACCCTACGTGAGTTTTTTCCGACTGGCAAGGACGTAGCAGCCTATCTTCTCAATAATCTAAATTTTGAAAGTCGTGGAGTAAAACAGTCGTGGAGTAAACCATTTGTGAGGCAGCGTGGTGGAATCAGGCTCTCGTCAATTTTTGGGCATGTAGAGTTATTGGTATCATCTTAAAACTTGTTCGCTTGTCTTTATTTGGATGAAAAAAAATATCCATTTATCTTGAATATAAGTCGAGATATTTGCAAAAGAAAGAGGTTGGGGTCACTTGTTTTCAGAGGTAAAGTTAGTGAGAAAATGGCCGCCAAAGATTAGTTATTTCTTTAGCTTAAAAGAGTCCGTGGTAACTGAAAATTTACATTTTTTGTGCCTTTGAGTTTTTTAATGGACATGAAAGGTGTTAAGCCAAAAAATAAAAATTTGATAAAAATTCACAAACCTGCATAAAAATGAAAGTTTCTTCACTTTGATTATTTTGACGAGAGCCTGATTCCACCACGCTGCCTCACATTTACATGTACACAGAAAAACAAACCCTTCTGTTGTGAGCAACAGAAGAGGAAGGAATTATATTAATTTAGAGAAATAACACAGCTGTCTCGGCCAATCACGAGGCGAGAATGTTTTCCTGCCATCTGTCACTTGCTCCTCCTTTGGTGACGTCAGTGGAGAAGGAACTGAATTGGCTTCCTTTCATTTGTCTTTCGCTTAGGGTGGTAATTTCAGGGTTGACCACTCTCCTAGGCTGAGACTCAGAGTTCTCAATTAGATCGTTTGACTTGAGAAATGTGTATGCATTAACAAAGGAAACGAAATTTCGTTGCGGCAAGCTGGATGCGGGAGAAGAAAGGAAAGCAAAATGCAGATTTGTTCATCTTATCAAGGAAAAACTAATAATTTTATTCATTAAAAGTTTTCCTTCCATTATTTTTGTGAATACTGGGTTTCAACTTCTGAATCTGTATTAGTTAGTTGTTTTCTTTTGTTCTTTCGTTTTTCGTTGTACTGTCTCTGTTGTATACAGCCTCGTGCTTCTTATGTTCCGGTTAGCATTCTAAATTCTAAATTCCTGATTGTTTCCGGGAAATTTTATGGCTGTCTGCCCATTTGGCTCAGTCCTCTTGCCCTTAATAATAACATAATCGTGTTGAAACGGGCATTAAACCTGACAGTTTTGAACACTGGCGGTAAGAGTCTTGCTTTTTTCATTCATCTTAGATTAATCAGAAAGAGATCGGTAAAGTAAAAAAAAAGCAATGTGCTAGCGGCACGCCCCATTTCGTAAAGTATTAGAGTATTGGTGGGTTGATCTCTTGTGTGTGTCAGCAGTCCAGAAATTCAATGTGGCTTTCTTAGAAAGATGAGCACAGCGGATTTGTTGTTTGGTTCCCGAAAAAAAAGATTTGATGAATACTATGAACAAATACATAGACCAATACATGACATTTTCTTACCTTATAAAAGCATTTGACACCGTCTGCTCTGAAGACCTCTAGGAAATTATGGAAAAATTCAAATGCCCATCCAAGTTTATCAACTTTGTGAGACCATTGCTTGATGGTATGAAGTAAAGACGAGAGGTGCCTAAAAGAGGGTTTTAAAAAAAGGGTGGGAGGGGGAGAAGGAAGTGGAGATGAAAAGTGTTGACAGAACAGGACTAAATAATAGGAAGGAATGTAAAAGGAGCCCAGCTAGTTAGTTCTATTAGTGTGTTTTTGAGGAGTGAGTGGTAATAGTCAAATGATTGGGCTCTCGTGGTCTAGAGGTAGGGTGTTCAACTCTCAGTCAAAGGTCCCAAGTTCGAAACCTGACAACAACGGAACAATTTTCTTTTTTTTTAAATGTCTCCTTTAACCTTTCCTATTCTATAGTCCTGTTCTTTCTACGACCACATCTTGAACTTTTTGAAAAATAAAAAGGAGAAGGAGAAGAATGAGAGAAGGAGAAGAAGAAGTATGTATGTGAAGGAATTTAAGTAAAGTGAAAGGGGAGGTATGAAAAAATGGGTCATTGTGTTAGTTGCGAAAAAAGTATTTTATGATAGAGCACCCAGAGTCACAATATAGTGGGCCTTGTAGAAGTAATCTTTATTACTATAATTTTGACAAGACATGGCTAAACATATGGGAAAAATATTCTAGAAATATATAGAGGCAAAACCTTATAAAAACTCCTCTGCATATGTGAGGCAGCGTGGTGGAATCAGGCTCTTGTCAATTTTTGGGCATGTAGAGTCATTGGTATCATCTTAAAACTGTTTCACTTGTGTTTATTTGGATGAAAAAAATATCAATTTATCTTGAATACAAGTCAAAATAATTGCAAATGAAGGAGATGGGGGTCGCCTGTTTTCAGAGGTAAAATTAGTGAGAAAATGGCCGCCAAAGATTAGTCATTTCCTTAGCTTAAGAGTCCGTGGTAACAGAAAAATCCACACAGAAATGAGTTCTTTAATGGGCATGAAAGGTGTTGAGCCAAAAAACAAAAATTTGAAAAAAATTCACAAACCAGCAGAAAAATGCAAATTTCTTCACTTTGATTAGTTTGACGAGAACCTGATTCCACCACGCTGCCTGACTTATGTAGGAAGTTAAAAAAAGCAGATAAAAGCAATCCAAGTATGATCCTTCCAATAGTTATTCAGAGCGCTTAAAGAGAGAGCGAAATGTAAACCTGTACTTGGTGCTCATTCTGTAGTAGACAAATATGTTGACACTTGAGTTGACTGTCTCCATAAGGAAACTGACCGAGGCTGACAACCAGGAGAGATTTTTGTAACGTCCAATGATGTTCAGTTCCGGAATGAGAGCTCTGGCGGTCAGTGAAGCAGTCATTGGGGTAGCTGAGACGATAAAAAGAATAGAAATAATCGTCACCATGATGACCACTCGGTTCTCCTTCCCAAAATTCTTCTGACCGGAAATTATCGCTTTGCTGGAAGTGTGATGCCGCCATTTTGCTTTTTTACGTAACTCAAGGCTGATGACGCAAGTGCAGATTATGACAATGGTGAAGGAAGTTAGGGGTCCAAAGAAGTCAGTAATGAATAGAGAAACCCCGAGGACTGCGTCTTTGTTTGTGGTGAAGAAAATACCCATAAGGGATCGGTTTTGTTGAGGGTAGAACTTCCAGTCATAGTAGGCGGTAGAGTAGACTGGTACCATGCTGCAAAACGAGAAGAAAAACACGAGAATATTGACGAGAGCAGCGACCCTTGTGGTGATGATAGACTTTACCTTCAGAGGAACGACGACGCTAAGACAACGTTCAAAGGCCACAAAGGCTGTGATCCAGCCCGTAATGCGAACAAAACAGATTCGTGGATAGCCGGCTGTGAGACTCTGGATCTCAAGAGGGCTAAATGAGAGTGGGAGTTGGGAAAACCAAGGGTTAATACAGAGGGTGAACCACTGCAGTATCAATAGAGCACACAAGTCACCTACAGCGAGAGCAAATAAGCTGATGGTGGTGCTCTCATTGAAGCCTTGTTTGAAGAAAACGACGATGTTGATAGTGTTTGCGATGATACCGAACACGCTGACGATTTGACCCATGACAACGAGGTGGACGACGAGGATGATTTTAGCTGCTCCATCCCCTATCAGACCAGGAAGAGGAATGCCGTCTTTAGTGGAAGTGGTCGAAGACACGTTTTCCCAGAATGGCATGTTGAATATAATGCTGTTTTTGTTGGTGAGTAAACTGTCAGCCTCAGCAATCACGAAGACTGACGCAAGAGAACTCGTGTAGACGCGGACTATGGGGTGGTGAGCTTCTCCTAAAATGTTTCGATTTTTCACTTTGTAGAAGTACCTGTTTCATGGAAAATGTGGTAATTGTTGGAGTGAGATAGATCGGTTGAGAGAATGACAAATTTTTCGATTTTGTAAAATGCTAATTTCGAGGTTTGGCAGTACAATTTAGTTACAACTCACTAGGTAGTTCACGAACATGCCTTAAGGTCATACAAAAATTATAACAAAATGATACATTCCTCAGAAATAGTAGAGTTACGTATGCTGCATGGAACTTCACACTTTGTCCAGAAAGCAGGCAGCTGATTAAAAAAATACAATTGCTTAAAAGTAAAAAGTTTGTGTCCACTCGGGTAACAAGTCTACATATATATTTGGAAAAGGTAAATTTAAGGACTGGTCTAGACACTGTCTTGTCACTGTCAAGATTCTTTTTAAATAAATAATTATATAACTTTGTTTTTTTCCATTGCTGCGACAATGTAGAAGTGAATTTCTAGACCTCCATATTTATGAAGATTGTTAGTTATTGAAACGAAAAAAGTGAATATTTTATTTTCGCTAAAATATCAGGTTAGCTGAACTTGGACGTGAATAGAAATTATAAAATCATTATCTCCAACAGAGAGCTAATCTGAATGTACACTGAGCAAATACTACGTAACTGCTGGCTTTGTTTTCTGCATAACAGTTACGAAGCGAATGATGAAGATAGATCTCAACTGAACAATGGAAGGATAGATATTCAAATAAAGGCCACTTAGTTATCCTATAATTAGCCATGAGCTACTTCAATTACGCGCGTGACATCTTTCGGAAAATGGCAACTTTAATAACTAGTTTGAACAACGCTATGTGAAAAAGAGCACCCCCAGATATTATCTTCATCAGGACAACGTAGTACCTCAGCACTGATATGATGAGCGTTCTACTGAACATGACGTGTTGTTATGGAGACCTTGTTCGCTCTATAATGATAATATATCTTATGATAGTATGTCAGTCCTGTAATTTCGTCTTCAGATTTCAGTAAGCCAAAGTGGGTTGAACAAATCATCCTGTTACCTTTCATTGTTCTGTCATCCATGGAGCTCCCCGAGTGCCGCACAAATTAAGCTTTGTCTTCACAAATACTATTATTATTATCTTCTCTTTGTTTAGCCCAGTACCGTTAGGTCAGAACGCTTATAAAATGTGTGAATAAAACTCTTGGGCTACAAGGACAACACTTCCAGGACTTGTGTTCGCAGACATTTTGTTTTTTATTTGATTAACTGATTTAAAATAAAGAATACATATGTGAGGAATTGTGGTGGAATCGGGCTCTCGTCAAAATAAAAGTGAAGAAACTTGCAATTTTCTGCAGGTTTGTGAATTTTTATCTTTTTTTTTTTTTTTTTTTTTGCTCAACACCTTTCATCCCCATTAAAGAACTCATTTCTGTGTGGATTTTTCTGAAAAACATTGATTAAAGGCACAAAAAATGAAAATTTTCAGGTACCACGGATTCTTAAGCTAAGGAAATAACTAATCTTTGGTGGCCATTTTATCATTAATTTTACCTCTGAAAACAGGTGACCCCCACCTCCTTCATCCTGCAAATATCTCGACTCGTATTCAAGTTAAATGGACATTTTTCCCACCCAAATAAAGACAAGTGAACAAGCTTTCAGATGATACCAATAACTCTACATGCCCAAAAATTGACAAGAGCCTGATTCCACCCCTCTGCCTCACATATTGGTATTCTGCATAAAATATATATATCATGATAGAAGTTATACAGAGTATTACAAAGTAAGACGAACAGGCCATACTAAAATATTGTCAGAGAACGTACAAATAAAAAAGGACACGAAACCATTGTGAAAGAGATGATGGAAGAAAGGATGTGGGGCAGGAGAGCCAGGGGAAGACAAAGAATGACATGAATGGACAACATAAAGACATGAACTGGACTGGATATAACAGAATGTGTAACGGCAGCTCGAGACCGCGAAGGACGGAATCGTCTGCCTCTGAGTCAGAGATGATACCTTCAGTGCAGTGCAGTGCAGTACTTCTCTCTTCAAGGAGTAGACAGCGACTGCACAGGTGAACAGACACTGGACACAGCACAGTTACACGACATACCAGGGCACTCTCTCAGACGTCGTGATAAATCAAGTTGGCAGAGACGCAACGAGAGAAATATCACCACATTCTCCTCTTTTTAGAAAATAATGCTGAAAAGATATAAGAAATATGTGGCAAAGAGTCAATAGAAATAAAATGAATAAAACTCAGAGTACTATTGGATTGGAAAAACTCAGGACATCTGTGGTCGACGCTGACGGTTAAATAGCGAATTCGATTGGACAAATCGATTCAATCTGTGATCAATTTGATCTTAAAACTCATGAGATATCGATTCGACTGCTTGAAACGAGGAAGTTGGTAAGTAAATCTCAATCGAGGCTTAGATAATTTTTTGGGTCGCCTCAACTGTGGGGGCATAAAGGCTGGCCAAATTACCTCCTCCGATAGACGTTCCAGTAAAGGGTGACCAGAGTGAGGAGTTACACTGATCGCTGTCTCAGAGGTACACCCCGTCTGGGCATCACGGTGTATCCCAGAGTGGCTCTGCGTGGCTAAAACAGCACCTGGATACGGATGGCTGGTGCCTCTATAAATACATTATTGATGTCCAAATCTCTCTCTATGTCTCTCTCCATCTGTCTGTCTGTCTGTCTGTCTGTCTGTCTGTCTGTCTGTCTGTCTGTCTGTCTGTCTGTCTGTCTGTCTGTCTGTCTGTCTGTCTGTCTGTCTGTCTGTCTCTCTCTCTGTCTCTCTCTCTCTCTCTCTCTCTCTCTCTCTCTCTCTCTCTCTCTCTCTCTCTCTCTCGCCCTGTCTCTCCGTAAGCGATAGGTTGATATTGATCTACCCCAGACGTATTGCCTTCCGGGGACGGGGAGAGTTCATTGATTGAAACAGTTGATTCACGCCCATCAGGATAACGAGCAGGGCATTAGTCGAGCTAGCGTTAAGAAGTTCAACTTCCTCTACAAGGGGGCTCACAGTGTGTGCACGTACTAATCTCCTGAGTAAAACCATTGCTACCCTCGTCCAGCATGGAAGATATATGTCATAGGTGAATCTCTTGGCAAAAGAGAAGAAGAGATCGTGGGAGTTGCATTGGTCGAAGTGCTGAGTAATTCGAGCGCAGAATACAAGGCTTCAGGACGAACATCCTCCCATTGGTCGATCGGTAGACCCCTGCCTTTAAAAGCCAGCTGAACAGCCTTGACTTTTGAATTACCGGATTTGTTGGGGGGGGGGGGGAGGGGTGGAGGTGGTAAGGGATGCTGCTGATGGATGGGATAGCTTTACCGAGTAAGTACCTACTTAGTTTTTCTTTTTCATCCTGTTGCCGTTAAGCGTCGAGGGGAGATGCAGTTTTCTATGGTAGGCCAGCTCTGCAGCTCTTTCAGTTGTGATATTATGTTTTCTCAGGGTTTCTTTGACACCCTCGATCCACCTTTGCGTGGATTTCATCTCCCTTTATAGCCTGAGTGTTTGATGTTGCAGGCTCTCGATGCTGGCTGGCCAGGTGGCATACGTAACAGGTGGCCAAACCGTTTTGTTCTCTTTCTTTCTATGAAATGCAGGCAGGACCCGAAGCCAATAGCTGCTCTTACTTCTTCATTTCTCTGCCCGTCTCTTCTGGTGATGCTAAGGGTTGATCGGAGACATTGTTTCATTTCCCAAGCAGTGATTTTGCTTTCATTTGTTTTACTTTTATGTCCAGGTCTGCCACTGGTAGCATAATGTTGGTATGAATATTGAGGTGATAAGCAGTCTCTTTGTGTCCATGGATATGTTTGGATGGGATAGGAGGGGTGCGAGCTGGTAGGTGACAGCGTTGGCTTTCTGAGTTCTCATTTCTATGCCTCAGTCTATGTATCCGTTTTCAGAAAAAGTACTGCTAAGATATTTGAACTCAACTGTTTCAGTTGTTTACTATTGACATGGATGTTTAAGAGACTACGGTTTCGGCTCATTTTCATAACTTCTGTTTTTGATGTACTTATTTTCAGGTTGAATTTCTCAAAACTATTGTTAAGTTCGGTAGTGTGATTTTGGAGGCTTTGTTGGTTTGGATGAAATGAATAAGGCATTGCGAATGGAAATTCACTTAGGCTTTCTGGGCTTTGCTTTGTTTCTTGCGTTATTGTGTTTATATATATCATATTATTATAAACAGGAGGGGAGATAGAATGCATCCCTGTCGTACTCCAGATCTTACTTTGGACCAGTCTGTATTGCCTTCCTTCGCTCTTACTGAGCTTCTGCTGTTGGTATATAGAGCTCTGGCATTATCTAACATTTGTCCTCTGACGCCATACTTTTCGAGTGTCTTCCAGAGTTTTACTGAGTAAGTAGTCCTTGAAATAGCTACATCAAGGCAATCATCTCTACCTTTAAGAAAGAAAGTTCTGAAAATGCAGCACTTTCTCCTTATTCCTTTCCGACGCTGCGACCTGGACTTTGACAAAAAAAGAAGAAATTAAAATTGCTGCGCATGAGATGTGGTGCTACCACAGAATGGCCAGAATTGGCTGGAAAACAAAACTGACGAACACCTGCTGGATAAAATAAAATGTAGAAAATTGAAAGACTTTGTTCACATAAAACAACATAAGACCATTGTGAAAGAGGTGCTTGAAGGAAAGATGTGGCGAGGAGAGCCAGAGGAAGGTAAAGAAAAACATTGAGGGACAACATAGAAGCATGGACTGGCCTGGATATAGCACTAAGTACAACAGGCTGCACCCCCACAACGGTGAAGGATGGAGTATCAGTACATGTCAACGTCTACGTCTAAGAGATGACACCCCCAGAATAATCCTTGAAATCTTGGGAAACGAACGCCA